AGTATTATGAAACAATACAAAAATGTTTAACAAGCCTTTTTGATAGTTTATTTCGTACTTTGCTATTTCAAAAATATGAAATTGTTAAACAAAAACAAAAAGAACACAAAAGCACTATAACTTGCCCACTGATAATATTAATACCAAACTTTTAAAACATTATTATTCTCATTTTTAATATCTTCTAGTGTTATGCCATTATTATTCAGGTAGTGCACATTTCACCAACAATCACTTTACTAACAGCTTAGTTCACTGACAATTAATTAACTGACAAGTTCATTTTACTGACAATTATTTCACCAACAACATTTCGCCGACAAAATAATTCTGTTCATTGTTGTTAGTGTCAGGTTAGAATTAAAGCTAAGGTTAGTGTAATTTATAAAAAATACTTGTCAGTGAAATGAGCTATTAGTAAAATAATTGTCAGTGAAATGAACTTGTCTGTGAATTGATTGTCAGTGAACTAAGTTGTCTGTGAAGTGATTGTTAGTGAAATAATATGTATTCTTGTTATCCACATACATATAAATAACAATTGCGACAGCTACCCAGATAAGCTCAAGAACATGAAATATTGCCTAGTAATCAACAACATCCTGAAGCTTTTTTAAGAATTTTGTGCCAAGTGTAGATGCTAATCCAAATAACCCATAACCAGAGAAAGTGATGATTAAAGCATTATACATATTCTTGCTTATATGCCACTGACCAAGAATAGAATTTAGTTTTAGTTAATTATTGGAATAATCTATAAGCTAGTAAAAAATAGCTTTATCACATGCAATATCTAACGAGTCTTCTTGATTCAAATTTAGATCTTCTATATACATTTCACAAGTCTTATGAACTGTAGATTGCTGTTTGAAGAAGGTCCAGCTTCTAAAATGATGACATTCAATAGAGGAGTCTTGTATCCACTTCCTACTGCTTCTTTGAGTACAAAATTTATTTCATCTATAGTAAACTTCATCAGGTATTCTGTCATTAACTGTCTAAAGATTTGAGTAAAATTTTCTATTCACTGTTCTACAAATAGATTTTTTCTATATAGTTCAACATCATTAACTACTGGTGCTATATCAATATTAGATATTTCAAACTGAAACACTATGCATAAGGTTACATGAGCTATATTCTATATGTTGTCAAACAGATTTCTGGCTCTGAATGTTTTTTCTTTAAAATCATTATTGTCTATTATAGCCAAGTTCCAAATATTGGACCTGACTTTAATTTCTTTTGCATATTTGCTTCTTTCATATACTACTTTTTAACTTTCACTTTGTAATCTTTAGAATATGCTACCTTATTTGCTACACGAAGAATACTATGCAAGTATGTTGCAAGCTTTGGTCATTCATAGTAAGATCTAATTACTTGTGGAAGCCAAATTTTCTAGCCTTTAAATTTGGTTGTTAAAATTATAGAAGACAAAAAAGCTGTACTTTTTACTATTTCACTTTCTTCAAATTCAGTTATAGTGCTTTTGTGTTCTTTTTGTTTTTGTTTAACAATTTCATATTTTTGAAATAGCAAAGTACGAACTAAACTATCAAAAAGGCTTGTTAAACATTTTGGTATTGCTTCATAATACTGCTGCAAAGAATCGGGACTTTCTAATGTTGACTTATAAGGTGCTAAACTGGTGCGTGATTTTAAAACTTCAAGAGCGAGTGATTTTCCAAATTCTTCATATTTTTTGGGTTTCTGTATAAGTTGTTGTTTGGAAAAATCAACTTTTTTAATTTTGCAAATTGTATTAACAACAAACAAGCTAGGTAATTTGCTAGATAATACATAAGATGAATCTAAATTAAAATTTTCTATGCATAGAATGAGAACTTGAAGTAAATTCTTTTTTATTATATCATTTTCTGAGTATGCCACTATTTCAATTAGCTTTGCAAAATAGAGAAGTGCAGTTTTAGTTTTATCTAAATGCATTGCAGTACATGCTGGGTCTGCTTTACCTGTACCCATCCATATATGCAAATGCTCTCTATTCTTTTCATAACACTAACAATATACATAACAAACTCCTCGTGAATTACATGTATTTTCTGTATATAAGCTTTTATTAATAGCTGAGCAGAGAACTATTCTATAACAAGGTACTTGTTGTTTCTGATTGTACACAATCTATATATTTTCTATACAGCTTGTTTTATGCTAAAAAACTTCTTTTTTTTGCAAAAAAAACAAGTATAATAATTTATTTCACTTTTTTGAGTTGAGCATTCATCTTTTAGATTTTGCTATACATAGTATTTTGATCATAATTAAAATGTCTTAAGCATACACCAAGACGATGAAGTTTTTTGTTAACATAATAAACAGCATCTTCATCAATTTTCTAGACACCAATTAATTCTCGCAACGCTTAGCAAATTCTCTATTACAGAGTTATTTTTCTCTATGATTATTATCGATTATGATACATGGTGTAGGTTGTTTCATCTTAATCACGAGAATCTCTTTAGTATATTTATTGCCAGTTTCCTTGTTGCTTGTTTCTTGCAAAATTGGTAGGTCTTCTACACTAAATTCTTTTAATGAATTATTTTTAAATTCTGCTAAAACTAGAGCATACTCATATAGGCTTTGCTCTAAGTTAAACACAGGATCATTGTTGTATTCTTTTTTATTATTTGATGAAATCATATCCTCAACATTTATTAAATTCTCTTATAATTCATCTTGATTATAGTTAAGTAGCAAGAATTCTTGTAAAGATTGTGAAGAATTATCTATTTTATTTGGTAAAGGTATTTTTATTTTATTGTAATTGTTTTGTTAATTTGATTTAATTTGGTGTTTGGTTTACGAATTGAGATGAAATAAGGTCTTTTTATATTTTTTTTTTGTTTTAAGACAAATCTTGACATCCAAAATGATATACAAAATTCTGACACTCAAAAAATCCTGATATCAAAATGAAATCCAAAATTCTGCCACTTAAAATCTTAATATTCAAAATCCTGATAGTACAAAATCTCAACAAGTTATAATTCTGACAATACTAAAACTCTTGAAATATAGTATTTTAACTTGTCAAAATTTTGAGTATTGGGATTTTGGATATCGAGATTTTATAGTAGTATCTTTTTTTTTGGGAGCAAAATTTTTTATTTTGTAACAGATAAAAAGCAAAAAAAAATTAATAAATTTTTTTATTTTAGCTGAACAAAGCTAAAGTATCAAGTTTTTAGGCATGAAAGAATATTGCCAAAATTATTTTCAATACTTTCCAAGTATGAACTAGCAGAATAAATTATTTATTATTCAATTGCAAAATAATAAATACTATATAATTCCAATTATATTATTTCTTGAATTAATTATATTTTATTAGTTATTTGGTAACTTTAACAATATTTAAAGTATAACTTATAAAACTATTTTAATATATTATTATATATCTTATATTTGATATATAACTGATTAATAACTTAATTACATAAATAAATTTAAGAATAAAAAGAATAAACAAAGTAACTATAAATTATAGTGCAAGAACTTTGTTCTAATTTTACAACATATAAAGAATTAAAAATCTTTTTTATTTCAATTGCACTATTACCATGTATATAACATTCTGCTAATTCATATATTGTGCCAAAGTTCCCTCCTTTTCATTTTTAGGGATACCATTACTACGGACATAGCATTCTGCTAGTTCATATATTGCATCAAATTCACCCTCTTTATTTTAGTATATCACTACCACAAACATAGTATTTTGCTAGTTTATGTATTGCACCAAAGTTCTCTACTCTTCATTTTAGATATATCATTACTATAAACATAGCATTTTGCCAGTTTGTGTATTGCACTAAAGTTTCTATCTTTAACTAATTTTTCATGAAAGACCAAAATATCTTCTTTAAGAACTGTCAAAGAAAATTAATAGCTTTGTCAGAACTGATCTGTGATGCTTTGAATTATTATTAATAATTACTAAAAATTATACTAATCATTTTTTTAAACTCACACCTGCATCATTTTTTGATTCTTGAAGTTATTTTTTTAAAACTTCTTTTAATACCTACAAAGAAACAAGCAACAAGGAAACTGGCAATAAATATACTAAAGAGATTCTCGTGATTAAGATGAAACA